GGGCTAAATTGCTTCCATGGTAGAGTTCAAGGGCTTATGTGCATTAATTAAAGTTTGGGGGCTTAATAGCGATTCTGGGGTTAGTTCAGGGGCTTAATTTATGGTTTTGCCAAAATAAACGGAAAACAAAAACTAAAAATTAGCGTTGCCAGCTATTTTAGCATATCAAATTGGATATTTATTTAAGTTCTGTTTAATGGCGTTCTTATTTTTTTCACTAATATAATTGGAAATGAAAATTAGAAATGTTAAGGTTTAAATTTTAAATTTTTAAATATCATCATATTTTTTAAAAGAGTTGTGATTATTAAATTACAATAATTATTAATCAAATGAAAGGTGTTTTATCAGCGATCAAAAGTCATTTTTAATGGTCACATAGAGGTTCAAAATTGATTTTATGAGTTATGAGCATTGGCGGCAATAATACCACCAGTCCACCACAGAAGTCTCTTTCGTGGCATCTCTTATCGTATGGTGAAAGCAGAGTAAGAGATTCAAGAACAAAAGCAAACCAACCAATGAATGGTTGACTGCAGTCATTCCGATTGCCGAATGTGGTAAGTGTCCGATCCATGTCTATCCAAACCGTGCAGCGAAATCAATCTAAACCAACATGTGGTACTATTTTGCACCAAAAAACCGTGCCAATTTCAGTATTTTGTCTGGAAATAAAACAGGGAGAAGAAAACATACCTAATTAATGAGGTGGGTTCTCCTCATGGTCCTCGTGGATAATGCTTTTGCTGTCAAGAACAGGAAACCATTGAAAACACAGAAAACACCAAAACCAGGAAGCAGATGAAAACAAACAATAATGGGCTAACGACGCAAACATTTATTACGTAGCATTGTGATTCCAGCAGGGGCAGTGTTATCGATGCTATGGAATTATGTTAGTCTTACAAATCAGACGACGTAAACACTTATTTCGTAGGATCTCAACTACATATCAGACCTACACAAACATTTATTACGTAGCATTGTGATTCCTGCTGGGGCAATGTTATCGATGCTGTGGAATTATGTTCGTGCTACAAATCAGTCGACGTGAACACTTATTTCGCGGGATCACAACCTAAATATCAGACCTAGCTACTTCCAGAAACTGAACCATTGGTGATAAGATGCCGAAGACTTCTGGGTTGAGAAAAGTTTTCCCTGAAAGTATAGTCGAAGCTGCTATCTGCGAATATCTTCAGATAAAACTGCACCAACCCTGCTGGTTATGAGAACTTGCAGAATATAAGATGCAAAGCATACTGTACAAGATGGACAGCACAGCCAGAGAGGTATCCACATAACAGAATTTGGATTCAAGGAGCACCAGGCCTCAAGGGGGCTAGAATTGTATCATTTCCCCACTGTGGAGGAGAAGGAAGCCTATTAACACCATATCCAGCTAGCCTTGCCTGCCTCCAACACTAAATCTACGGATCTTCTAACTCAACAAGGTGAGCCCGCCGCTCAGCAGCCATCTTGCTGACAAACATGCCCCATCTAAGGGCTGCTTTGAGCTTAAGCCACCCCACTACTGCTTTGCCAGGTGGACGGGTAGTTTCATTGTCAAAGCCAAAGTTTGGAGATGGGTTGGGCATGTATCCAGAAGAATAAGGGTAACCTTCATCAGTAACATTGATTGGGGCCTGACCATGGCTTCCCATGTTAATGATACGAAGCAAATGCTGCATATCTTCATTTTCAAGCATATCATGACTTCTCATTCTAATTTCATCCTCTGAGAGGAAATCCTCAAGTCCCTTATAATTAGGAGTGCTCGATGTACCAATATCATGACCACCTAACATGGATGATTGTGATGGACCAAGACCCAGTGCATTCGCATTTCCTGGAAGCCGGACCTGCTGCGAATCACTAAGCAATGGATTTTGTAGAGGTAATGAAGAGCCATTAAATTGAACGGAAGCATTAAGATTTGCATTCTGTGATTGCATCAGTAACCTGGCAGCCATATCATCACTATAACCTAGCGAGAGAAATAAAAAACATAGTCAACAAACAAACAAACATGCATTCAGAAGATGATAGGAAAACCATTAAAATGGACAATAAGAAGATGGCATCT